AGTCTCTCGCTGCTTTGATATTTCAGTTGACTAGAAACCGTCGCAAGATTGCTTAGCAAGATTCCGTTAGTATCGTTTCATCATTCTATTATTAAGATCTGATAAGTTGAATAAATTGAGATTTAGATATTTCGCGACAGCATTCCATTTATCATTTTCTATACGGCAAATTTAAATAAATTATACGTAAATTCTTAAAATGTATACTTCATTCGTGCGTATATTTTTCAAATGTTTTTGTAGCCTTATTTCGAAGTTCTGAGTAAATGATTTATATAATAATAAAATTTAAGGTCGAATTTTTTCTATTTAAATATAATTTTATGCGTGATACAAAAAACATATGAAGAAATATATCATGAAATATACATACATATAGGTATAAAATATCTATACAAACATATATTAGGATGCAATATGTGAAATTATAAATAAAATTATAATTTTCAGTCTTGAATTTCTGTCACAAGTTATCTAGAAGAGCTCTACTATGGGATATGAAATAATATAATATGATTAATTGCTTGATAATTTCCCGAATTACAAATCTAAAAAATAAACTTAAGAACGCGAGAGATTTTAAGGACGATCTCTGCTCAGACATTCCTCGATTTTCTTCTTTCTAATGTTGAATGCAGGTTCGATGCACTCTGAAGCGCAACGACGAACGAGGCGCGTGAGAAACGCAGCGAGTGCACGCCGCGGACCCCGCCGTTACGACTCTAGCGTCGGGCGCAACTTTGTATGGAAATCCCGATACGCGATAAAGCGCATAAATGGGCGAGCGTGACGGGGCAGGGGAGAAAAGAGAAAAGGGGAAAATATGTGATCCAACGGGCGGACGGGCGGGTGGTAGCCGAGGCACCGGCCGAGGTCATCATTATCCGCCATTATCCGGTCCCGGCCAACCACTGTAATCCGTATTTCATTCTCTGCCGGTTTTTTGTCGCCGGCCGCGAGGAGCGGTTACGGGCCCCCGAGATTACAGGCCCGCTACGGTGACCGATAGTTTCCGCGATGCAACGGAAAGCGCGAGACGAGACGCACCGCGCCTGGGCGGAATGCCACCCTCTGCGAGCCCCCTTTGTTCCCGACCGATGCGTAGCGATGGACCGGGTCAAGAGGCTCGGGGCTTTTAAAATAAAAAACATTCTTTTTTAAAATTCTAATAAGTAAAGAAGGAATAGATAGAGTTCCCCTTAGATGATTTTTAAGAGAAGGGAAAAATTCATTATTGATTTTCTCGATTTTTGCACGCGATCGATCATTTGATAGAAAATTTCTTTCCTAATGATTACATCTGACGCACACATATCTTTTTTCATAAAAAAGTCTCTACATCATAAGTTACTATTTAGAATGCAGGATACTTATGAGTTTTTAAAAAATGAGAGAATCTATATGCACGATTGCATCGACTCCTAAATTATTATTCCCCGCATTTATGAACATCTTACAAAGTTCACCAATCGCATCAAATAATCGTACATCATGGAAGAAAAAAAACAGACTTGACTTGCGAACGTTTTCGAGACTCACATCTTGAAGAACAGACTCGGGATATAAGTCGGGACTTGTTTCTAAAATAAAAATTGCAACGAATCAATACGCAATCTCGCGCGCGGAATATCTCGCTATTTGATAGCCCCCCAAAGTGTATCGATAAGTGTTCAATTTCTCTTTCTCTCTCTCTCTTTCTTTTTCTAGTTGTCTCAATACCTTAACGCTCAGCGAGATCGTCCTTCGTAGATCGATCTCCGAAGCGAGACAACGCGTGTCGCTCGTAATGAATCTCGGTTGTTGCATAATGAGAGCATAAATTACGCTCTCGTACGAGAGCTTGCTCTTTCTCTCCTCCTCCTCCCCCTCCCGTGTGGACCCCCTCTTCTCTCCCGCTATCGCTGCGCCAGGTAAGCGCAATAAATTCCAACGTATAGACAACGGGGGCCCCGCGGGGCCCCCGCCGTGTCGTCCGTAAACGCGCGCGCACTGGCGCTCGTTGTTCGTATATATTTACCTGGCAATTAGTTTTGCGGAGAATGTTGTTGTCCTTGGTCGTACAGACAGAGCGAGCGTGAACGCGCACGCGTCCGCGCGCTCGTTTGCGGGGGTGTCCTCGTCGCTGAGAACAACAGTCGGGAGAATCTTAAGGAAAATTTATACTCGCGCGCTCTTTCTCTCTCTCTCTCTCTCTCTCTCTCTCTCTCTCTCTCTCTCTCTCTCTCTCGATGATTATGCGAGTTGCATTTAGACTTAAAAAAGATCGCGATTAATTTATGTATGTATAAAGAATACTTTTATATATTTTATTTTTTATCATGTATAAATCATGTAAATTTACAATCTTTCAAAAATAAGATTGTTGTATAATCTAATTTCAGAGAGATTGTCGCGATATCATAAAGTTCCTTGAAGTTACATTTCATATAAAATTAATATATTAACACTTATACATGTATTCATGTTTTACAAAAACTTGCATGATTATATTTTTATAATTTTTTATGCAACTTTTAGCTATAACAACAAATAAATTTAACAATTTTATTTTAAATACATTGTGAATTCTTCCTCGCGTTAATGGTTTCATTTGACTCGCGTTTTCTACTGACAGCCTATCATCTTTATAATCGCACACCGTTATATCGTGCTTGATAAGAATACCGCTCGTATACGAAAGGAGGAATCGTGACGCCGATACTGGTCGCCGGTTTTCGCATCTAAACGGGGAGAAACCCGCGTTCTCTCTTGAATTATGCCGTTTTTCAAGTCTTCACCAGCGATCGCGAAACAATGACGGTCCAATAAAAATCCGGGGGACTCATTTATCGCGTCTATAATACGCAACACTTCGCGGCCGCTTGTGGTTGCTGCTTCGCCATAAGACTTCGTATATCGCTTCTCTCGCCCTTTGCGCCCCCGCCCCCTACCCCCGCGTTAATCCTCTTTAACACCGTGGTTAAACCTCGCATCGACCCGAGCGATATCCGCCGCGATAGATCGAAGCGGGACTCACTCCACCCTCCTCGCGATTTTTATTTCCCCGCCGCCGCTCGGCGAGGTGTTGTTGCAACAAGGTGTTAGATTAATTGCGCGATTAAATTGTCGTAAATCTCGAAAAGGGACGCCCACTCGTGGCGAGGGTGAGATGAGAGAAAAAGAGAGAGAGAGAAAGACCGCCTTCTCGTGCTCTTCCTCGACGTTTCCAGAGCGATACGAATCTTTATGGCGGCGAGATTCTCGCCTTCCCTCTTCGCCGAGGTTCTTTTCTTCCTTTCCTTGAGCCGCAAGACGTCGATTCTGAAATTAGAATGCCCATAGTTCGCCGGCTGGATTGCCCCCGAGGAGAACTCTCGAGAGCAAATACTCCCCCGTCGTGGCTATCGGCGAGTAATCGAAAAGTCTCGTACGCGCGAGTCGCTCGCGGACAAAAGGATCATGCACCAAAGAAATTAATATCTTAGTTGGTATTTTCACCCGTTATATTTTTCGCGATGCTAAGTCACTCCGTTATCAATCTCGCAAAAATATCAAGAAGCAATTTTTTTATATGCACATAATATTTAAAAAAAATGTATCAATATGTATTTAAATATACATGGAAAACAAGTACTTTTTATAAGCTTGTTAACGTTTAAATATGTTTTTTTTTTAAATAATTTTTATCGCTGAAGAATAATAGTTGTGCAAAATTTGGAGACTTGATGATCGGTACAAATCTAATCGCCATCGGTGATGATTAGAAATTCAACTCAGACTTTCACTTCATCGCTTTCGTTTCTTCTGGGCACGATTTGCGATACGTTCAAAAAATGCGTTCCGTTACTTTAGCGTTGGCGTAACCAAAGTTTCCAGGGAATTCTGGATGATACGACGCGAATTCCAAGAGAAAGGAAGTCAAATGGAAGAGAATAAAATAATAATCTCGCAAAATGTATACGAAATTTTTATTCTTTTTTATTTCTGTTTGTTTCGTATGTTAGTAACTCGCTCCGAATGTCGGCAGCATGAAAAATATCGACGTAAGAAAATATATATATGTGTATATATATTAATAATTAACATTATTATTATTATTAAAATTATTGCTCTTATCAAAGCTCATCCCACGTATTTTATAATCGACGTGTTAAATCTACATATGTCTTCATTTTCGAATGTCATTAATACACATGCTTTGAGAAGAGCTTTGATCTATGATTATTATCTCATGCGCGATACGCTGTACCCAACTTAATCTCATTACAACAGTCGAAACATGAATATATAAATATATATATATAATATATGCATATGTATATAACAATGTCTTTACTTGTAGCAAGACCGCCGTTAAGGAAATCAACGCTTAATGCTAATTAAATCTCTGATCATATAAAACCAGTATAACGCCTAAACTTACAATTATTATAAAAACATATATATATATGCTATATTATTCGTTAGCCGCAAATATATATACATTTAAATGCGCGTATGTAGTTAATTATGTTCTGATTGTTAAAGATTACTGGGATAATGGAAGCACATTTTCTCTCAATTTGCCATATTTTTTTCTTAACGAGATAAGTTAATTACAGCGATAATTTCTAATAAATTCCAGTATTAATATTTCTTTATATTTTCTTCATACAAAATGTTTGATAATGGACGTAGAAATGATGAGCAAGATATTTTTCCTGCCCAATAAAAATATTATCTTTGTTTATAATAAAATTTCAAATTAAAATGAAATTTGCTGTTGTATAATTATTTAAGAAATAAAGTTTTCTTAGCTATTTCAATTTTGTGATTTAATTCAATAAATTTTTTCTCTTTAAATCGTTCATGTATATGTATGTGTGTTCTCAATATTGATGTCCGACTAATAATTTTGTTAAAAAATCTTTTTAATTTTACATAAAATAATAGTCTATTAACAGACATTCTGTACAAAAATAATATTCATTTTATTGTCCTTTGCAAATAATTATTTACAAATAATTATTTTTCATTCTCACATATGTTAATCAAAGAAAAAAATTGTTTCTTCTTAACGCAATTTTCTTATCTTATACAATTTTATTTTAAGAGGTATTAATTTAATAAATAATTGATTATATAAATATACATAACAAGAGCTGCGCTGTGCAACCACATTGCGCGATTGGGATCTATTCGATGTTATTTACACTGTTATTTCGACCAATTTTATGATTTCCCGTTTCCTTACCTGAGTGTGCAAAATTAACCGCGCTCTTCAATTTTGTTCCTTTCTATTATTGTAGTTATACCGGGATTAATCTTCGGGGGATAAATCTTCCCCGCCTTCGGGTTTTATCGTGAAATTGAAAAGCTAACTACCGTTAAACTTATAAAATATACAGTATGTACGAGTATATGGTGGAGCCTGGCACGAAATGGGATGCAGGTGACTCTCAACATGTAAATGTAAATTTTTAGCGACTTTAAAACTCGTGTTGTTTCAGCAAGAGAGTTTTATAAAAAACTTTTTTATGTTGTTTATGTTAATTAATAGTTTTATATAAAGTAAGATGAAAAATTGGTATAATGGTTCTTGTTGGAGTAAGTAAAATATTAAGACTGTTACACTTTTCGACAAAAAATTGAAAGAAATATGAGTTAATTTATAAACATCGATTAACATTTAAAATACATTTTTTTCAATTTCACACACAATTTATTACAGTCGAGTTTTGAGATCCCGCCTCGGTCTACTTCCAATTTGACGAGCGTTCCATGCCAGGCCGCATAAAAAAAAATAATGCACGTGTCGTAGAAATCTAACAGCCGTGGAAGCGCACTTTACGATCTAATTACGCGAGTAAATCCATTTCCTCGATAGAACTACCTGGCATTCGCTCGTTTCACCTCGCCATGTGTTCTTTGGCTTCAGTTTCTGCATTCGAAACAAATTCGAGTCGAATCTTTCAGCAGCCCAAACGCCATTAATAAAGAATTATTACTCGAAAAGTGTCAATTCGTCTCAATAAATACGTAAATAAAATTAGCAGTCTTGTCATTAAGCGGATGAAAAAAATAAAGAATTTTTAACTGCAATGATAGGGTGAAACTTGGCAATATCGATACTTTATAAAAAAATAAATTTTAATTTCATTCCTTTTAATATTTCAAAATTTAATAAAATAATTTTCATTCTTATTTTTCTTCTACTCATCACAATTTTAAATAATGGCGTCATAATGAGTTGAGAATAATTCAAGTCCGATGAAGTAATGAATGCACGGATATAATTGCACTCTTCATTAATTGCACCCTTGTACGATCGAGAAACGACCGCGTAGTCCCCGTGACATTACTTTGCATAAGCAAATTGACAAGATGAAGTTGATGTTAATTGCTAAAGAACTTCCCAATAAAATTATTATACATCTCTATGTTATATATATCTTATCTAAAATATAAATTCGGATATAAATAGATAAAACGAATAAAATGATTATGCCATAACATCTATATGTACAACCGATCGGTGAGCAAACGTGAACACGTTAGTATGAGTCCTATACTTAACTACGTTGAAAAATTCGCAAAATTAATCATGTTAATCGTATCTTATATGCATAAAATAACATATTCGAAATTGCAATAACGAGCTTGCTAAAATATTTTCTTTCGAAAGAGTCATTCGTTCAAATATAAAGATATAGTGGTTTCTTAAGGAAAGCAACAGAGAAAAATATAAATTAATTATGCGAATGGATATTATTCTGATAATTTGTGCGATAGAAATGAAAAAATGCTAAAATGAAAAAATGCTGTTAATAATAAAAGAAAATAATACGCGTTACGAAAAGCTGCATAAAATACAATGCGCGAGAAAGGCTCATACAAACTACAAGCACAAGAAATGGACGCGATGTCGACGTCATAATGACGCGTAAAGAGAGGAAAATATGAAAGAAAGAAGATAGATGAATCTCTTCGAGTAACCTAAGGATGGCTCACGTGAGCCCCGATACACTTACGTAGCTAATAATAAGTCATCTTAAAGCCTAATCGTTCATGGAACATACAGCATTTAATATATCATAGATATATGGGACCAAAATCACCAGCACCAGTCGTTGCGTCTAGGACGCCTCGAGCGTAACACGATCGCCGATTAATTATTCTCTCGAACGGCAAGCTCTCGATCGATGATCTACGGGCGCGATTTCGATCGAGCGAAATTCCCATCCTTCGCGATGCCCACGGCACGTGTCTAAGGCACGCTCTCGACGACTTAATAAATACCTTCTTAGATGATAAAAATATTTTCGCGAACTTCGCGCGTGCCGACAGATTATAAAATTGTAAAAATGTCGATTAAAATGACATTATTAGACGATTAATATTCGATCAGGCAATTATATTTCAAAGATTTGATATTTCTTTGATAGATTTCTATCTTTTTACATATCGGTCGCGACGTAAGCACGGAAGGATGGTGATTGTAGCGGTTAGAAAAAAATGTTTAGTATAAAAAATAGAATGTTCCCTCTTTGTTTCGTCACTTCCATCGAGAGAACGGATATCAGAAGCAGCAGCGAATAGTTCCGCGCGCTCAAAATATCCCGATTATATATACATCGTGCGCATTGCTCGGACAATTCGAGGACATCCGACAACTGGTGCCGACAAGCGATCATGAGAATAGAGAGAAAAGAGTCATTTCTTCCCTTTTCTCTGGCGAATCTCTACCCGCTCGCATCTTCGCTTCACGATGAGAGAACTTCATCGAAGCGCAGGAACGATTCGATAGAGAGAAAGAGAAAGAGAAAAAGAAGAGAAAGAGAAAGAGAAATCGCACATGCTTATATATATTATTATTGACAGAAGAGGGAAAACTCGAAAAAACAATGCAAGAAACAGAGAAAGAAAGAAAAAAAAAGAAAAAGAACAAAGGAGAGGAATAAACATAAGGCGAAAGTGGTCGCCCAAAACGGGCGTACTAAGCAGACCCGGTCGTGGCCTCGGCGTTATCGTCACGGATAACATCGAGCACGGCGGATCGTCGTCTCGAAATTTGTTACCTTTCGATCTCCTCGTGCTGGGCTCATCCCGAAGTCACTCGCTCCGAAGGATCGCAGGTGCGCGCGCGCGAAAAAGGGGGCTCAAAGAGGATTCTTGGGGAGGGAGAAGAGTGGGAAGAGAACTCCTCACAGGCAGTAGGGATGACAAAACTGGTACACCAATCTCTGGCTGCGCTCCGTCTTCTTCATGATGCCCTTCTTGTAGTACTGTCGAATGCTGCGGCTGAGCTTGTCATAGTTCATGGCCGGCCGGTTCTTCCGCTTGCCCCAGAGCCGCGCCACCCGGACCGAGTCCTCGATCTTGAAGACTCCCTTGCCGCGATCTAGCCAACGTATGCAAGAGCCGTGGACACTCGGACTCTGCAGTAGTTCCTTCAAAAATTGCCACAGGTGGATGTGGCTGCCACCGTTGCGCATCTTGCCGCCACCTGCGCTGCCTCCACTCGCGCCCTGACCGGAAGCGCAATCCTCGTCTTCGTCTGCAGGCAAGAAATAAACAAACGCAAGGGATGAAGGAGGAAAATTATTTTTTATATATATTTCAGAGCCACCAAGGCACATTTGATTCGCGCGAATATAAAAAAAATGAGACGAATCGTCCTTATTTCGTTGAACAGCGTTGAATGATGTAAGAATCGAGCCAAAAGAAAAAAAAGAACGTACCATCTGAGAAGTCTACAGTGCAGGGGGATTCCTTGAGGTTGCCCGTCGTTGTCGTATTTCCGATAGTCGGCGATGCCACGGCACTGCTGGGAGACTGGACCACTCCCGCAGGACTCCAAGAAGCGGCCAGAGTGTTCCGCGGTGACTCCTCAACAGCGGCCTTCCAAATCTCCAACTGCGCGTGCAACATGCTCCCGCACTTCAACACAAACAGGTGTTGTTGCGGCGTTACAATTAGCCTAATTAGCCGTGACTTTGGGGCTCCGTGTACTTTAAATAACAGTCATCAATGCTCTACTTGAATTGATCGAGGCATAGCGTCTATATATGTGTGTGTTTCACCATTTAAAGCGTATCAAAATTTGATCAATTACCGTCAAAATCACGCAGTGATTAAAAATGAAAAGCTATCGGGGGACGAACGCGAGAAGAGCTTCGAAATAGAGGAGAGAGAAAGAGAGGGAGAAAGAAACGAGGCGCGGAACGTTAGAATTCCAACGGAAGACTCGTAGTGCGCGAGAGAAGAGAAAGCGGCTCTCCGGTCGAGACGCAACGCGGCGGACAACAAGACATTCGAGCGGTTGACCCACTTCTCGATCGTTTCTGCCGAGCCAATGGTGCGCGCATCGGCAGGTACGGCAAAGCGATCCTGCCGATCGCGAACGAGCGCGTGTGCACGCATGTACGCATGCACGTGTGCACGTTTCGAATTGATGGCTCAGCATCCTCGACGTCGCACATCTTCGTGACGCAGAAGTGACATTGACATCCAGAGCGACATGCAATCCTTCCATCTCTTGTATCTCATAAATGACGCGAAGCGATGTCATATATATATAGATATTATTTCGCAACAACTTTGAATGGGATATTTAAAAAATGGAGGATTTAATTGTTGAAAAAAATTAGATACTCTCTTGCGCGAATTTAAAATATTTCGACCTATGTGCAGCATTCGATCAGAGATTCATCCGGCGATATACAATTACACTCGCGACGTTCCGAGAAACAAGTTCTCGCATATCGATAATTACCGTCATTAAAATGCGATGCCCAACCGCAAAGAATGCCGTTAATTATTTCCTCGAGAAGCGAGTGCACCAGGACTCGTTCGTCAGTTCTCTCTCTATACGATAAACAATCTCAATGCAATCTAATTTTTTGTCCTTTCGCTTTTTCAATATTTTACTTTTCTTTTGCAACAGATTTATAATTAATAATTCAAAAGTTTATATATATATATATGTATAATATATGTATAATGAATCAGAATTCTCATTTAAAACATTTCTCTTTGTGCAATCTTGACAACTTTATGGAAGGTAAAACTGTTGGAATGTCAAATTCTTACATCATTTACTCTACATTTTTGATAGAAAACTTTTTATAATTTTTTATAATTTCCATGATATTTACGAGTATTTACATTTTTTCCTACCCCCTAGATATGTAAATTTCATCACAATAATTTTATTGGCAGCAAAATGTGCTTGAAAAATTAAAAAAAAACATCCAAATGATTAACCAGATAAATTAAATGTAAGAATATACAATATCCCCCTCTCTCCAAATTTGTGAGATCTCATTTTAATCAAACGAATTCTTTTACTAGAGATAAAGCAAAGCACACACGCACATATTTATGAACCGCACGTGAATGAAATCTTCGCGAAGAAAATTCAATCATATCGACGAGAAGCTGGAAGAAACGAGGAAAGAACTTCGCGAGATCGTAGATAGAACGTGACCATAAGCCTGACCATGATTCCACGCTATACGCTAGAGAATTACCGCGATACTTCGTAGCGCGATTATCCAATTACTAGACGCAAAGCAGAATCCATTATGCATGGCTACTTTTCCGTTCGCCATACACGGCTACTCTACTCGCTATTAATTTACGTTACGGTCCTCACGTCTGCAATTTCGAATAACGAGACGCGCGTCGAAAGATTTTTCAAAATTTACGCCGTTTTGAAAATAGTCCAAAATTTATGGCGTCGAAAATGTTATGTGCTCCTTGTTTAAGTGAATCGACTTTTCTGTTTCTTTCTCAAAAGTTTAGAAGGAGAAAAAGAAACGATTAAAAGATTTAATTAATTTTTATGTGATCAAGAACAAAAACATATTTCTCTTTTCTTATGTCATTATAATCGTAAAATAAAATAAATGCGAAAAAAAATATTGCAATTTTAAAAAACTAGTATATGGTTTTTTCAGGGAAAGTTAATTTATCGAAATGATATTTCACATACAATGTCAAGTTCACTTCTCTTCAGTTTTATCTTGACTTTGTCAAGTTTAGGGTTATAATTAGCAGTGCGTATAATCAACATTGACAGCAACCGGTTTTTAGTACGTTCAATGTCGATGGAAAACTTGTTACTTAATAAACGACAATATAATAGCCTTATACGCAAGTATCGAGAGAGGCGGTAGAGAAGTCGTTCCTTTTTATTCTCTTACAATTAGTTCTCTCACGAATAATGATATATTCGCGAGGCAATTTCATGCTTTTGTTCGCCAAATAATCATGTCATTAAAATGTGTCTTGTATAAAAGTAACTATTATACATTATTTTATACGTTACACTTAAGTCATGTTAAATTTTTAAATTAGATGTAGTTTGCAGGAATAAGTGTGTAATGAACGAATTCTCTTAACAAATTAGCAATAATTACTTTCATGGTACAAAAGTCACGCGATCATGGAACATATACTTGTGTCTTAAATTTACTTAATATGACATAAAAGATATAAAAGATACAATAATTATAATTTCTTTATTATTAATAAATTATTTTTACTCTTTTTGTATATGTATTGTATTTATTTTGTTTCATAATATTATATTATTATGTTACAATATTATTCTTTTTATTATTTAATAATGAATAATTACGGTTTTAACACATTTTTCAAATTTAAAAATTTAAACTTTATGTACATATGTAACCAAAAATGTATTTAACCAAAAATAATTTCATTATTAATAAAATTTTATTTATGCAAATATTTAAAGCAAAATTTTCTATATAATTTATAAATAAAATATATTAAAGTTTAAAAAATAAATTAATTTATTAATTATTTAAAAATTTTAATTTTTTAAATTTAATCTTATCTCTATTATAGATTCATTCAACATAGTAATGCAAGACTATATCTTGTTTAATGCATAAGATAAGGTATGATATTTGTGTATATAATGATATGAATTAGTGCCCGCATCTCTCGCATCAATTTCATTATCGCCAATCTCATCAAGATTTATTATTGATGAATAAGTACCAGTTTCGTAACAGAATCCGTTAAATAAAGAGAAAATAGCCTTGCAAAATCTTGGATAAAATCTTTAAGGGCCTCTCTCCCTGAAACTCTATCTCTGACGCAAACTGATGCAACTCTCACGAGTCCGATGATTCGCGCGGGAATTCCGATCCCGTTACATGTCGAAATCTGCCTGTAGTGTAGATACCTTCTTTTTATTTATGTCTCAGGTATGGATTACACGGAAGGAGCGCGTAAACGCACGTCGATTACCAGGAAACTCACTTTCACCGGACCTCGACGAGCGTTTCTCAAGTCCCTCTCTTTATCGTTTTATTTCTTCATCGAACGAACACGAACGTACTCACTATGCGACCCAATCGCAAATTGCGTGTTACAGTAATAAAGAATAAAGTTAATAACTGACTGACTCATAATCCAATTTTCCTGGTTGCCAAAAGTCTTGAACTTAATCGCAATAATTTCAGATGAATATTTTTAACTTTTTCATCTCCTTTCGTTGTGTCATGTTTTATAGTTCGATAAACATTGATACTTACTCGCGATTAACTGATTAAGTAATATAAATGTTGATTCTCTTTATATATTTCTGATTAAATAATATAAATATTGATTCTCTTTATATATTTCCTATCTTCCTAAAATTTTTTCTTATTTTAAATATTTAATTATTTAATTATTTATGAAAATTATATTGAGACAATGAACTTATTATCTAAAATAGATATTATGAACAATTTTTGTACATACGGCAATTAAAGTGATAAATGCAAAATGTATTGTAAATTCTCACGACGAGAGATAAATTTTATAAAAAATTCAGCCGTGTTGACAGGAGGCAGATAAGGAATGGCAGATATATATTTTCGCTATTATTTCTCTCTCTCTCTCTCTCTCTCTCTATCGATTCCAACATTATCAATTATATGTTTTAAACTAACAAAACTAAATTTTACGCGAAAATGTTGCAATTTTATTTTACTATCGTTAAAGCCTGGCACATAATAGGAGGCATTTCAAAAATCATTGTGAATAATTAATTTCTTAAAAATATAAGATCCCAGCTGAGATAATTACAAACGCAGATGCAGGCATTGCACAAAGTGTGTGATAAAATAAAAATCGAAGAAATAAAATATAAGATATATTATAAAGAAACACAAAAATTTAGGTAACAAGACATTAATATGAAATTTATAATATTTTTGTCCGAAGATTGAAGTTTGATGCAAATATTTGCGTAATATTCATGATTAAAATATTTTATTTATATTTATAATTTATTATATTTTTAAAATATTTTTAAATTATTAAAATATTTTAAGAAAATTAACAAAAATAAAGAAAGAACTCTTTTATTTTTCATTCTTAATCAAGTTTTATATTAAGTAGAATTTTATGTAGAAACACAATTAATCACGAGATATGAACAGAGATGGAAAAATTATGAAAAAATTTCGCAAAGGAAAGATGATCTTACAATATTCCGTAGAGTGAAAATATATTTTGTATAATTTTTATTATAATTTTATGTGTGTGACACATATCTGTATTTTTTTCATTATGTTTCTATTCTAAGAAAGAATATAATAAGCATATTCGCGCTCACCTGGGGAGCTCTCTGGCAAAATTCCTCCTCGGTGAGGGCAGCTAGCGTCGCGCCATCCACATTAAAACTCTCCAACGGCACCAGCGGCAATTGCAATTGTCGTCTGGCCCATTGCACCCAGGCCGCCACGTCTGCTGCACTCCAGCGTCTCGGTTCTACAATTAAAAGTCAGAAATCGGACATTATTCTGCGCGCGATTGTCGTGGAAAAAAGCATAATACTCCGACAAATTTAAATTTGGAGAACGAATGATCAAATTAATTCACTGAGAACGTTTGCTTGTTCAAACATTTATGTACATTCTCGGAATAAATTATTTTTTTTCTCTAAATTAATTAGGTATCAACAAGGTACAAGTGTATTCAAAACAAAGTTTTTTGCAAAGCATAATTGCGTCGATGACGTGTATCTTCATGATGCGAGTAATTTCGTGACTCGGCTTTCACGGCACTTCGTAACTTATTTCGAGCGTGACATCATGGTTTGAAACTAATAGACGAACTAAATACTAGTCGCATATACGACGACGATGACGAAGACGACGACGACGTCGAAACTATGCTCGCGGCAAGGTAACGAGGTCTAATAGAGCGAAGTCGAGAAAATCGATATACGCCTCGGAATTTCTGATGACTCGATCATAGCGTGTCATTCATATATCATTACGTTATACGAGATAAATCTCTACGGTATCTGATTACGAAGAGGGAATTTATATAAACAAATAAAAGTATATAGAGAAATTAATGAAATTTTTAGCTCTATAACAAAATTAAAAAACTTTAGAGATGAATTAAAAGCAGTGCTTGGCTTGATTTTTTTTTACCAACGGGAACTTTCTTTCACGTATCATATGTTGTGGAATGATATAATAAGCATTCCAATCTTCTTCTCTTTCAAGAATTATCGATATAATCGATATAATTTTGCACGGCGAGTTACATAAAGCGATTTTGATGAAAGAAATCAAATGATATAATCTTAAAAAACTCTTTAAAAAATCTTACACAATTATTGTAAAGTTGATAATAATTAATGCGCACGTAATTGCATCCGTCCATGATCATTACAACTATTGTAGAAATAGCGTGTTTACAAAGATACGCACAAGGTTACGCATTTTACTTTTCAACGAGACAGGATCCATAATCACGAAATATATAGTTTTATATTCTCTCTCTCTCTTTTTATATATTGTAAATTTAATTTTTCATTCCATTATTCATAATTTTTAATTAAATTTTGATAAGTTAATATACATGAATCTATAATGACTCTAATACTCGTTTTGCAAAACACTTTCTTTGTATCCTTTAGTAGAAAAAAAATTAAATCAAATCACCCGATCATAAAAATATAAGTACGATATGAAAAATCGTTTTATGAAAATTCCAACTAAACTTTGACAAGAGTAACCGACTCACCTGGATGAATGCCGAGGGCTACGCAAGTATTGTCAAAGTCCTTCTGCAATTGTTGGATGGCCAGACTGAGGACCGGCTCGAGCTGTTCGCGAGCGAGGTCGCCCACGCACTCACCAGCCTCCATGTCCTCGACGTAGCCGGTGCCGACACCGCCGAGATCGACAGGTCTCAGATTGTACTTCCTCTGGAAGCTGGTATCCCTCAGCACCTCACGCAGCAGCTGATGATCGCTCTTCTGACCGTCCTTGAAGAGTTGCTCCTCTTTTTGCAGCGGATTCACTAGCTCCTCCTGCGATCGTTCCACCTTGAGCTCGCTCAGCTTGTCGGGCATCTCCCCTAGGTTCTCCTTGCGAGTGACGCCCTTGAAGAGAAGTTCGCGCAACGCCGATCCGTTGCTCTCGAACTCGCACGAAGGGCTGGGCGAGGACGAGGTGGAGGAAGAGGTGGAGGAGGAAGAGGACGAAGATGAGCCGTTGCTGGAAACAGAACGCGGCTCTTCCTTGAAGAGAATCTCCTTAAGCAACGGATGAGCCTGCACGCCAGTGTCCTCCTTCTTCGGCAGAAAATCCGCGTCCAGGCTATTATAGATATCCTCCTCGCTACGGGGTGGAGTGCAAGGCACCGTGCAATCGGTCGAGTCCTCGCGGTAGCCCAGACTCTCGGCTAAGAGTCTGTAATCATGCGAAAATGCGCGATTCGTCGCCGTTATAAGATTGCAACGAAAACTGGAGATGACAAATAACGGCACTTAAGATAAAAACGTCGCCACGATGCTAAACGTCATCGTGCAATTCCCAATCATTTAATATGAAATTTTTTGTTGATATCATGTTGCAAACTCAAGATACTTATATTTAAACATGAAACATATGCAAATATGAATTATAAAATCGACTCGAAAAATTGAAAGACGTATTGTAACTTTTTTTCATAGCGGTAAAGTGACGTGACCATAAAATAGATCGCGATCAACAAGAGTTTCGAGGAACGTGATCTACCTAGATTCTTGAAGGATGGCCAAGAGATCGAGGCTCTTTTCCCTCTTGACCGGTTGCTTGGCCGACGGTTCCGGGCTGATGGGATAAAACTGGGCGCTTTGGGGGCTCCTAGGTACGTAGTACGGGCTCGTCGGGTATCCCGGCGAAGATCCCTCGTGCGAATAGTTGGGCGACAACGACAGGTCACCGTTCTGATACGGCGGGCTCTGGTAGATCGTGGGAGATCCCGGACGCGGCGAACACGCCTCCTGCTTGATCTGCGAACTCTTCAGACCGAGCTGATCGCCGACCGGGCTGTAATCCTCCGGCAAGAGGGACAGATCGAACTGAAAAGTGCTGTAGTCGAACGACGGCGAGTAGCCGGCCGCGGTGGGCACCGTTTGCGGCATCTGAGAAAAAAAGATGGAATTCAAGATCGTATAGATTGTTTATACACATTTCGTTCGCGAGCGATTAGATTGCAAAAAAATGTAGAGAAGAGAAAGCGGCGTCGCGCGTTTCTCGTCGCGGCCAAGGCTGATCGATCCGTGAGCAACTCGGCTTCGACTATAAGCGGCTAATGCTAGCAATTAGAGCGCGATTGTGGTTTTGTGGTAGTGGGCCGGTGATTGCGAACGCGTACATAATGGACGAACCAGCCCGCGATAACGTTGTACAACGCGCGAGCGCGAGGAAGAAAGACGCGAGAGAAGGAAACGCCGGAGATCTGTGTTCCATGAAATCTTATTCAATCATATTACATTGTAACCATGTTGTGGAACATATTAATCATACATATATGTATATATTTGCTCATAAAATTGCATATCATGATTATTATCGTGGAAATCGACTTCTATAGAAATGACGGGATAATGGCAAATAACGTCAGATTTTTCACGAGTGTCTCATTTATAACGGATATAATTCCCACGGGACAACAAAGAGATAACGAGCGCGGGGCGAATCCGAACTGTTCCGGGTCGTAAAGTACAATATAAAACGGTCGCGTGTAATAAAACAACGCATATGTACAAAAGAGGCAGTAAACTGGACCCCGCCTTTTGTAGTCCGAACGATACGAGAGATTCTTCATATCGATTCGCGCGCGAAAGCGAAAACCGCCGCGGAACCGCACCGGACGAAACACTTTCTCCGAGCATCCCGGATGGACCCGCGCGATCGCCCGTTTATCTTTCAGCGTGTTTATTGCCCGTCTTGCGTTTGACCCCGCGTCAGTTTGTTACGCCCCGCGAGTCGCTTAAGGCGATCCTCCTGCTGCTTGGGATGAACGACTGTCCCGAAACCAAGGAGAGATTAAGGAAAAAGAAAATGAAATTAAAATTATATTTGAACTTATTTATTGCAACGAAAATTTTATAAAAAATGTAGTAAATAAATTCTATAAATATTGAAGATAAAGGAGCGTGAAGCGGAGTATCTTTTTAATTACATAAATTAGGGAAAAAAACTTAAAAATTGGGGAAAAGAACTTAAAAGTTATCGCTGTGAAAAAATTGTATGCTAATATCGAAATGCATTTTCAATGTGATAAAAATATAATACAGAGAAAATCGATGTTGGTTTCAATGTCAGAAAAAAAATTTAAGTTTTATAAATTATATTTTACTTGTTTTCTTTCTGCTTTGCAAAATATGCAATTTTTCACTTGCTTAAAATAAAACCTCGCTACATAAAAATGATTCCTTTCAACCATTTCATCAAAATAAATATTCATAAAAATAATCATTCAAAACTTTCTCAAATGAAACAGTCACGCATATATGCAACTTACACAATTAAGTTACTCTTTGTTTCAAATGTTTAACATAATAATTGCAATATTTATATTCGATCTATTTTAAAATTGCAAGCATGTCAATCATATAGCACGTGAATGAAAATTTGAAACGAATAATGATTTCAAATCATGCTAATTATATTTATTTATGACTGCTACATTCGAGGCTGCAAGTATTTATAAGCTTTCAGGCTATTTTTATAAAAATTTCTCATTATTAATCACACGTATGACTGAACTAAAAGGACGTGCATTCACCTTCACGTAGCGAGTTTCAAGTTGCTGTAAAGCAAGCGAAGAGAAATGCATTTAAATATTTTAAAGAGGAACAACATAAAATGTAATTATAATTTATAGAATTTATATTCTATTATTTTGACGTTAAAATTAAAAATTAAACCGCATTATTAGAAACAAGATGACTGAAAGCATGTAGTTTGCATTCAATTTTTATTAATATCAAGTCAGAATTTTCTGCCGCAGCACTGTTATTTAATTAGCGCAATTTGTGCATTTTTATTCCGTTCTACTACTCCTATCTCTGAAAGAAACACGGTCGTTTACTCGTTTACGCGAGAACGAAAGCGTTGATATCCTGAAAACGGGCTTTGGTATCGTGCCCTCGGATCGTCTCGACGCTCATCTCGCGTCCCGGCAAACAAAACGCTCGAGATACGCCGAGTCGAGAGACGAAACACTCTCTCTCCCGCCGGCGGGCCCCGGTGTGGTGCACCTTAAGGGCCCATTTATCTCTACGTGTGTTTATTGCCCGTCGTGTGTTTGACCTCGCATCAGTTTGTTACGCTTTGTAAGCCCATTACAACGTTCCCAGTGCATCTCCCCTGCGCTCAGGCGGGGTCGCATCTGACATTTTGACGTAGTGCCCCGCAAAGGTCGACGCGAAATAAACGATTATGCCCAACGGACACAGGTACGCGCGCGGGCGCGGGGGCTCTCAGACAACGTAGAGACACAATACCTCTGCCACTTTGATCGCACACGCCAACAGCGCTCGCATATACGTGAACAAATATGTGCACGCGCACACGAGCACGCGAGATAGGAGTACCAAAGAGATACGCGAGCGAGCTCGGCAAGAGCGCACTCACTGCTCATTCTTTCTCTCTCTCTTTTTCTCTCGTTCTCTCGAGGCCTCGCGAAAGGTTCCGAGGAGAAAGAGAATGTTTATCTATACACTGATGGAATCTAAGAACGCCTCTCAAGAGAGAACCTTCCTTGGGTTTACCTCGCGGAATCACGAGGCTCGCGAGCGACACCGCGATTAAGCGAAAAAAATCAGCGTGCAAACTTAGCACGGCATTTATTAACATTGAGACATTTCAACCTGAAACCTTGTGGGAAACTTTGGGAGCCCTTGTCGCCTGATAAGCAAACTAAACAGACACAATATTCTCGCTCTCTTTTATCTCATTTTATATGTATTACGAAATGAAATGAAATGTCATCGCGAGAAGCGAAGAAGAAATTTCAGCGAAATTAATTGGTCGCCCAAATATAAATAATTGGCCAAAAAAATTGCGCGGCAAACCCTCGGGAATGACGCTCACGTGGAGAAGAATCTTATGGTTCTCCTTGGATTTCCTCCCTCTCGGCGAGCCTTTCGCAAAGACAAGCGCCATTGACGTCACGCGTTCGACTAATCGCCGGTGCAGCTGCAACATTCTCCCCTTCCGCGCGCAAAACGCGGGATTCCGCTGGAGTCACGGACCGCGCAGTCAACGGGACGGCCTCGTAATTTTCGAGAGACCGTCTCGTTCCGTTCAAACACCGTAATCTGTTTGCGATTACACGGCGGCACCTGACATTCCGCCGGGTTTCTTTGTTTCGTGCAAGCTAATCTTTCAAAAAGGCGCTTGTGTTTGGTCTCTCCCTCTTATACGCGTAAAAAAAATATATCGTTTAACGAGGTCGATAGAGATGATGCGATCTGTTGCAATCTTGAAGAATTCAACGCGCTATTAAAATTCAACGTTGCTCGTTTATCGCGATTCCGAAAATAGCGCGAGGAAAGAAAGAACGAAGATCGATAGATGGAATAATAAATCAGGGGATTTTTTTCGATATGCGTTTATTTAATTAATTGCGAGAATTGCAACGATACGGTTTAACCGAAAACAATTATCGCGAAACAATTACCGTCGAAATGTCTGCAATCGTCGCGCGAATTATCGGCAATCGCCGGCCGATTTCGTAATAATGGAGATTTTTTACGATTCTGTCGGACTTTGAACGCGCACGGTGACATTTCGAGCGAGAAATCGCGACCTTCGATAACACCGTGACCACGAAATGAGAGACGAGGAGAGGCGCGAGAGGCTGTCTTACTCAAGCGACTCTCGATCGCGCGGCTCTCGTTCGCGCGATCGTAAAGCCGTCCTCGCGAATTTGAATATGCATTCCGCGCTCGAGAAAAGGAAGGATGGGAACATTACGAGAGACGGTTGTAAAAACTGGAATCTCTCTAAGGCGCATGCCGAAAGGTGCGCCGTCGTCCATGTATTTATTGCACGCGCGACGATATTCATCCAAATATATCGCGCATTGTTTTCGCAGCATAAATTATACATTTCAGCGTTCGGTGAAATCGGAACGCTACAAACGAGCTTGGATGTAGCAGCGATTTTAAATAGCTATAAATGTCTAGCACACCTGATACATAATAAGTCTAATCGCGCTTTCGATTCCACTTTAGCTTAATGGATTTAAGAAAATGGCAACGTACTTCGCGGAGAATAAACTTAGCGAATTATAAGCGGACGGAGTTTCAATTCGAATTTCTCTTCATGATATTCTAATTATGTTGAATAGTGACTCAAGTTGGAAGATATGTTACTTTTATACGACATTGTAATATCTCAAGATTTAAATGGTTCGTAAAAGAGGAGAGCGGAAACTAAGAGCAATGATCGTGATGTGCGAGATCATCCTCGATTCTATTATGACGTAAGAGATTTAGAAAGGATTCTGACGTCACGTGTGTCTATTTACTAGCTAGCTTTATAGTAACTCAGAAAGAGAGAAAGAGATGCGATCTTTCTCTTCAATCTAAATCTGACGTGAAGTATAATGCGCTCCTCTTAAACACACAAAATGCCTTTATACTTCTATTTTCATCCATTTTTCTGCCATTTTAGTTAATGAAGAAATATAAAGAGACACCTTGATTTTTTAATGTAGATACACAGAAAAAAAAGTGTCAAATCAAAACTTATATACTTACATTAACGCGTTTATTGTTTCATATATACGCAACAATTTATAATCTTCTTAGAAGAATTTAATAATTTTAAATTTTAACAATATTATAGTCTTATTTTAATATTGTAATTGTCACCTCAAGAATATATAATTATTTAATTCTACTTTAAGAAAATCATAATCTTTGATTTAAAAATGTTATTTTCTACCTAACATTGTTTCTTTTCCATTCAAGAAAATTAAATCTTAAATCATAAGAATATATTTTTCTCGATTAAACTATATAAAATGGCTTCATTCAAGCAAGCAATTGTTCAAGCAATTATATTTTTCTTTAATTAACGCAATATAATTTCATTTCAAGATTTTCATGTTAAAACCAAAGATATT